TGGTTACAGCTACTGCAAATATTAACAGGTGCCCAAACTATCTCAGATCTCTGGCTTACCTCCCCATTTAAAAAGCTGGGGAAGAGAGGAGTTTCCTCTGGAAATCACCACATATTTATTATCCTTCCCCTTCTGGTTTATACATAGTTATAAAGAGCTTTACCCTGAATATAAAGAGGACTGGGCCAAGTGATTTTGATGCCTCAGATGAGACATCTAAATGGTGCACACAATGTTGCCCTTGCCTCACCCTTGATCCTCCTCCTGTGTGGTGAATTTTGGAAAAACAGAGCTTTCTTTTTGGAATGCTGCTCCCTGATGTCAGAACACTCTGTACATGCTCAGACAATATCTTAATTTTATTTCACCTTTGCACAAAATGAAGTCTGGTGATGAGTATCTTTTATGAGGAAACACTCTATCAAGCCTTGGTTTAATTTACAGAAAAGAAAAAAGACTGGCACAAGTCCTCAAACCTACCTGGAGACCTTCACCACTGTTTCAGATGTTTGCAAGTGAGCTCATTTATTGTCCGGGAAGATAACTGTATATGCTCAGAAGCACCCTTCACATATCCACATGTTCCAGCACTGAGCAATCCATTCCATTCAAAACCAGAACTGGGTGTTTGTGTATGCCAAACAAGTTTAATGCAAAACTTGATGACTGAGTTGAATTAAGCTACTTGGGACAATTAGGTAATGAAAATAATCAAATGAACAAAAGGAGGTAACCTTTCCCAGCTACCATCTACCCAGACACTACAATCAACCTCCCCTTTGAGGGAGGCTCGGTGGCAACAAGGAGAAAGGACTTTTCAGCCGCCCCCCCCCACCCTTATGGAACAAGTTCCCTACTGAGGCCCACCTGGCACAAGCCTCACTATCTTTTCGGCACCAAGTTAAGACTGTCCTCTACTGCAGGGCATGCAATCAGTTTACTGGAGCTTTGTCAGCTGTTTAAGTAGGGTCGAACTGGCTTTATCATGTTTAAGTTATTGGAATTTTATATGCCTTTTACATACTATTTTAAATTTTGTATGGCAACTCTCTCCCTTCACCCAATGTTTTTATAATGTGGTGTATTTTAATGGATTGTTATATACCATCCAGAGAGTTTTTTGGGTGGTATAGAAGTTAAATAACAACACCACCACCATCAGAATCCAGGTATCAACAAATGCCATTATTTTCCATCTAAATCTGGGCTGATGATCCTGTGGCCTTCCACTGCAAACGTCCTCATTCCTAACATTTGGGCATGGTGCTTGAGGCTGATGGGCATTGGAGTCCAACAGCAGGAGAGGTGGGAACTGCAGGCTAACACATCTAGAGTACATCCAGTTGGGGAAAGCGGCTCTTCTTAGGGCCAGGGAAATGCAATATGGTGAAACCTGCAACTGGATGTCCCCATATGGTATTTTTCTAAAAGAACAACCTCCCTGCCTGGCCGCCATTTGGATAAGGGTGCGGCACAGGGAAGAGTGGATCGAACCCTTTCCTCCTACTCCAAACCCCTAATTCCAATGTTGTCCCCCACCCCCATTGCTCCCATTAGCCACAGAGGGAATACCATATAGGCAATCATATAGGTGGAATATAAATAAATATCAGTCGATACATGGAAACAACTTCTGGAGGGACACATGTTCCCCACTCCTGTTCTAAGGAAAGAGTTTCTTGGGGTTGAGTGGCTGGGATGGGTGGCATCTTTCTTTCAGAAATTTTCAGAATTTTTTAAGGCTAAGCTCAGTATCCCAATCGAAAGGGGACAGCAGTTGGGACCAAATTCTCCAGTGGGCCATTCTTGCCAGGCAGGCAAACTGCTGCAGGGTCCCCTGCAGAACCAGAGTGCACAGTTCAGTAAAACCGCAGCCTTTACCAGCACAGCATGAGCTTGATGGATGAGCTATTACTACAGTTCTTTGCAGCTAAAGTTCACCTGGCTTGCCAGGCAGAGTTGGCCTGGAGGCAATGGGGTCGAATGTGGGAAAAGAGCAACCTTGGACTCAAGGTGCAGAGCAAGCAACCCTTTTAGAAATCTCTCCCCCACCCCTGCAATGGGTCAAAGTTACTCTGGTCAGGATGGGAACAAATGTTTACCACCTTTTCTGTGATGCTTCAAAAACCTTGGACTCGGGCATCAATAGAGGGAGGAAAGGGAAATAATTAGGGCACAATCCTAGGCATGTTTAGACAGGGGGAAAATCCTACAACTCCATGCTGTGGCATGTAAGGAGTTGCAGAACTTTTTTCTGTCTAAACATGCCTAGGATTTCACCTTTACCGTTGATTTAATGGAAAGACAGTGGAACAGGGGTAGGCAATCACACACTTGCACAATGCAAAGGTCTCTGAATCTTCCTTTTAATTGCGTTTCCGCTTGCCTTTTGACCAAGCCACTAGATTCAAAACAAGGGCAGCCTAAGAAGCTGTGGATGGGATCATAAGGAGCCCCTCGTGTGTTGAAAGGGCCCCCGAGATCAGAACATGAAGGTTGTAGATTTCCAAATGACCAAAATATCCTCCGGAGGTGAGCAAACGGTGGCCTTCAGATGTTTTCGCCTACAATTCCCATCAGCTCTAGGCAGCATAGCCAATGGTGAATGGTGATGGGAGCTGTAGATCCTCAGGGTCACAGGTGCCCACCCAGCTTTAGTCCTATTCCTCCCTATAAGACAGGTGCATCCATCTGCCAACAAACCCATTGCCACCTGTTTTGCCTTACCCAATCCAGACCACCTTGCATGACAAGTGGAGGCCAGGTGTGGCCATAGGAAACAAATGACTAAAACTAGTGAGTCACTCTACATGGTAAAAGGGGAGGGAATCCTCCACTTTGCAGTTTACTGATCACTCCAAACTGGAGGGAAATGTCTTCTGATACAGCACTCAATCAGATCCTGAGCATGAACAAAACCCATCCCAAGTTCGATATTATTGCAGTTCCTTGCTAATCCATACCAAGCAACATCCTTCCTCCCTTTATGGTAGCTAAGTCCTACTACTCCACATGAAGCAGAATACTGGGAAAACTGGAGGTCACAGATGGATGGTTGAGAAAGGGACCACTTTTGCAGTCACATCAGATGAAATCTGAAAAGGAAGGCTACAGATACATTGCCAAAAAAAGAGGAAATGCATCACCAAAAGGGGACAGGAGACAGTGTGTTGCGTTGAACTGACAACCTGAGGATCTGGGTTCCAGGCCCCACTTGGCCATGAAGCTCACTGGGTGACTTTGAGCCAGTCATGAACTTTCAGCCTAGCCTACCTTACAGGGCTGTTGTCGGCCACCTTGGGTTCTTTGCAAAAGAAAAAAAAAGCAGGATATCACAGTATTAATAGACTAGTGATTTGTATAAAATTAGCATATGGTAATTGATACATAAAGACCCAAATGTAGAAATGATTCTATTTCAATTTAAGTGCAGAACTTCTCCCCACAGTGTGGAAAACTGAACCAGTGGCCTGTGTGTTTGCTTAGTCTCCCGTCTGGCTGCTATGATAGGGCTGGGCGCAGCTCTGCCTCCACACGCTTCCTTCTCTTCATACCTGATTTGGACTGGAGAGCCCTTTGAACAGAGGACTCCCAGAGGGCGCACAGCTGCTCTAACACTGAATGAAGGAGCCTATTTCATGTGGGGCTTACTAGATACATAGCATGTGGTGTGTGTATGCAGCCCTCGGCTAACCCCTTGTGCTGCCTGGAGTGAAAGACAGCATGGTGCCCTCCAGCATCACGTCTGCTTATGGGGGGCAACCCGCCTAGCAGCAGCGTCTGCGTTGAGGCAGCTCCGTGGCCCACGCAGGCAGTGGGCAAGCTGTATCGCCCACAAGGCCTGCCTTCATCCAGGGATGATGGCTGCCTGAGATGGCTGACTGACTTGGCCTAATGATACGGCTGGCCTGAGTGTTCATGAAGATGTCTGAGCCACAGCAAGCACCTCACTTCACTCTTCTTTATTTGGACATCAGGCTGCACAGACTGGGACACGGCCCACTGGCTTTCTGCAGTGGTGTGGATCACCAAGACTTCAATTATTATTCATACACTGCTTTTTTCCTGTTGTGAGGCATCCAAGGGGGCTTACATAGCTTCATTTTGTCCTCACGACAACCCTGTGAGGTAGGTTGGGCCAACAGTGTGTGACTGGTCCAAAGTCACCCAGTGAGCTCCATGGCCAAGTGGGGACTAGAACCCAGATCCCATCCAACACTCTAAACATCACACCGACTCTGTTTTCATTACATGTCCCAGACTATAAAAACAGAAGGTTTAGTGCCTATCTGACAGGGCACATCCATGGCTCTGTGGGGCTGTGCTTGGGGGGAGAAGTCACTGTTGTATAGGCCTTCAAGCCAAACAACCAAGCTCCCTTCTAGCACTCTCTAACTGAGCAAGAACTCCCAACTTCAGCAGCCGTCACTGTGCAAGGGATGCCTGCAGAAGGGCTAGTTCCAGGTCATGATCACATGTGCATACACCCCTTCTCAGCAAGGTGCTCCCTTTATAGCAATGGGCTTACCTGGCAGCAGCCCACTGACCTTGAAGCCATCCGCCATTTAAATTTCCCACAATGCCCCATGGTTGTGCCATGTTGGGTAGTCTAGGGCACGGTGGGAACGTTCCAAAGGTGGACAGCTTCCCAGGTCCAGCTGATGATGCCAGGGAAGGCAGGTGTCCAGGACTGGCCGAGGGACGCACCTGTCCGTGTTGATGTAGCCCAAGCAGCCTCGTGTCAGTGACTCTTGCCAGAGCAGCTCCCAGAAGCCGCCTAAGAATGCCAAGTGCTGACGGTGGCTTTTGGTGGCAAAGACTCACTACCTGCTCTCACTATGAAGATGACGGGGTTGCTAACGGTCTGGGAGCAACTGATCTGCATCAAACAAGTCTTAATAAGTGTTTCCGTGCCACAGATTCTGCTGGACCCATTTTTTCCATTCTCCGGATTTCCCAGCAAGCTTGTGCTTCACATCAAAATTATTACCTTTATTCCTTAAATTAAAAAAAGAAGTAAAGAACAACAACAATAAAGTTAATCCTTCTCATGTGAAAATCAGGACCTGATCCTGGAGCCAGATAGCCCCTCATTAACTTCATTTATAAACTTAATGCAAAATGAATGCCTAGTCGGCTTCTCACAATCAGAGAAGCGTCCTCAAGTAGTGGGTGTTTATAAAGTGCATCTCTCCTTCAAACAGTCCTCATTTCTCATCCCATTCTCCATCAACAAAAAAGTTGGGGTTTTCTGACAAGGTAGCCCGTACTTTCTTCTTTTCCTTGAAGCGCCCTGAATTGGAAACTTTGACATGCTTCCCTTTGGTGCTTTTGTCCACAATCTTCTCTAGCCGGGCACTGAATTCCCGGTCACTGCTTCCTGCACTGCTCCCATCTGCCGGTATCTCCTCTTGCTGATTCTCATTGTTGGCAACAGCATAGATATCGGGGCTTTCGTATAAAACTTTTGGGGTGGATTTTTTCTTTCGAAGGAAGGTCAGTTTCCACCAGCTATAATTATTTTCTGCCATGGTGGCCAAGAGAATGAACTTGTCACCTTTGAGGAAGGGAAAAAATAGATCTGTTACTATCAAGCCAGTTTCAGAGAAAGCTACCTGGGAAGTCTTGGCTTTCAAGCCCATGCCCAGCATCCTAAAATTGATTTCCAGGACCTCACAACTATGTTTCTCCCAGCCATTGGTGCTACCTTGGTCACTAAGCCTACAGCCATCTCAGCATATCTTCCAACCTATCAGGAAAGTATGTGATATTGCCAGTCTTTGCCCCAGACAAGCTATTTCCTGTTACACCCATTACAAACCCAACTGCCCATGTCTCTGAAAAAGCTGTCAATAATCAGTTCTCCACTTGTTTTTTAAACCTCCACCGGGGGGGGGGGGGGCATAGGCAACATGTCCTTAAAAGCATCAGCTATGAGCCAGAAAGGACCTAGTTCAGGGCTGAGCCACCTGTGATCTCCTCCTGGCCTTTGGTAAGGCCTCTGCTGAATCTACTGGTACCCCCATGAGGTTGGTATTTGGCAGCAGCCAAAAAAATCCATGGTTAACCACCAAAACAGCAAACTATGAAGGAGACCTTAAAGGGACAAATTTAGCTTGTCACGGCTTGCAGCCAAACCTCAATGGCATGCCAGCAATAGATCTGCTAATGCCCTGCCAAATTTTGGTGATGTGCCAACAGGACCAGATGTGCCCCCCCCTCAGTTGCCCACCCCTCCCTTAACCAAAACTCCTCTAACTCATGTGTTTTTAGTAGTTGTTCTCCTTGCACCTCAGTACACTCCCTCCTTTGTGATATGGGATAACCATGTGGCCCAACTCACAGGATGGGTATAAGGATTTTCCGGCAAACTCTGAGAACTTGAATGCACCATATAAATGCTGGATTAAAGGTAGAGGGAAGGAAACACAATATGGTGATTGGAAAATATGCACCAGTTCTGGGCAGTGTGGCTTGCAGCTTTTAAATAGCCAGGAAGATGCTTCTCATGGTCATTCAGTTTGGCCCAAAGCATGTGTACAGTCAAGCAGTGGAGAGGTCAATATTGGAGTCTGCCTCAGCAGAGTTCAGCCTGGCCCCTGCAATCACCGCAGTTTTTCTTGGTTTTAAGTCAGCTTTTGTCTTAGACTGAAGCAGCTTTTATCAGGATTTCAAAGAGTATTTGCTGAAGGTGTCCCTGTTGCCTTACTCTGTTTACAAGCAACCCTATGTTCCAGTCAGGAACTGAACAAGCAGTAAGCACATGGCAGGGCTAAGGAGGGTGTGTACACATGCCTGTAGGTCTTGTAGGGTGGCCATGTGTCCTCTTTCACAGAGGACAGTCCTTAAGTGGAAGGGCTGCCAGAGGACTGACTTCTGTGGTAAGGTATCCTCTATCTGTCAATGTCAGTTTTAAGAGGAAGAGCCTCAGTACTATCGCCCATCATCAGCCGGTGCTTAGCGATGAGATGTCTTGTATTTCTGCTTAAAGTATAATTATTTCTAAATGTGCACTTACATATACAAATTAATATAAGCAAATCAGTTATCCCTCTTAAACCTCTTCTCTGCGGGATTTATAACTGGCCACCTGTGTGCATCTCATTATTCCAAAGTACTAGGTTGTTCAATAGCCAATCTAGGAGTTAAGAAATAACTGAAGACTAAACGGAAGGCCTGTCACCAAGAGCCGTCAAAGGCCTACTGCTGATGGCCTTCTGGTTCCCCTCTAAAGTGCCCATGTGTATGTCCTGAAAGAAAATAGGAAAAAAGCCCAGGATGGGGATCTCCTGCCATCTGCTTTTGAAGGGACCATCAATCAGCTGGAAAGAACAGCCTTCTGGTATGTTTTAAAGCAGTTTTAACTTCCTTGGGAGCCTTCTCAAAAAGATGATGTAAGCACCTGGACCACTGACTCAGCAAAGCAAACAGGACTCTTCCCCACAGTGTCCCTCACTGTGTTGTAAATGAATTGAGAGGAATTATTTCCGCATTGCATCAGGGTGTGCACGATTGCATTTACAAATGTCACACCAATCTGCATTCGTGTCTGTCTTCTGTTCTTGGTCACACGATTCCTCATTGCTGACAACGTGACAGTGGCCTAGCTTTTAGCCCTTTAGTTGCCGCAAAAACAAGATCTGTAGACAGGTTATCCACTATGCAAACTCCTTGAGCATCCCTTTCAACCCTTTCTTGGGGAAGAAAATGCCACCAGTTCCCTCAGCTGCTCACTTTCTCAGGGCACAGTTTGCCGCCTGCTCCTGCAAGTACCTGCTTTTTAGGAAAGCCGACGCAGTAATTGCAAGCCAAATCCAGAGTTTTTCAGAGGAATCCTGTAAGCGATTTCTCCACAGTGAGATCAGCAATGGCAAACACCTAATCAAAAAGAAAAGCTAGCTTGCCACCTTTCCATTTCCTCTCCAAAGTGCAGACATATGAGACTGCAGGAGCGTTTCACCCCTGAGCAAAGGCAGGACACGACAACTTGACTAGCACAACTTGACTGTGTGAGCTGCATTTGTGCCCTACCACATCTCTTAGATTGTTCTATAACCTGAAAAGTTTCTCTGTAAAACACACACCTGTTCCTTGGCAGACATTTACAGGTGAAAAAGGTTCCACAAAGCTAGGAAGGGGGAAACCGCAGATGTACTCTGAACACCTGAGACATAAAGCATCCATGATTGCTGGCTGTAGGCCCTTCCTTGGAAGTCAAAGCACTCCAAGCAGGAAGAAATTTCCCCTCTTCCCTCCCCATGACTTTTCCTTTTGTGTGGTATCTTTTTTGACTGTATGCAGGCGAGCTGTTTGAGGAGCTTGTTTTATTGATTGCAGGCAAGCTGTTTGAGGAGATTTTCTGGCTAATAAGTGGGGTAAAAACACCTTAAATAGAGGAGAATCTACAGCATTTTGTAGATATAGAAATGAAGCAAGCTCTCTCGAATAATCTCCACAGGATTACTCAAGGCTGCTTGCCACTTTTCATGTGGGCTTATTCAACCTTGAAGGCAGTGTAGGCTAATTTGGCTTTTGGGAAGCACTGTTGGATGTACCATTTTGACATAAGTCATAACTGATCCTTATCATATATCTACAAGCAGACCTCTTTAACCTATGATGGCTTCCAGATGTATAAATTGGCTGGCTAGCTGGGCAACTTTACAAAGGTTAGTCCTTTTATTTGCAGGGCTGTTCCACCCAGCTGCAGTTTAAAGGCAAAGAATCATTAAAAGAGCAACCAGGGATGATCAGTGGCATCGGCCCTTCATACCAAAAACCTGGGCAGTAAACAGAGCAGAAGCATCTCACAGCTGTGGGGAGACTTTTTGTATATCCATTTAAATGATCCTGACAATTTTGAAATCTGCACCTATACATACACATTAGGATATGAAAACATTGTGTTTGCTTCTTGGAGGTATGTTTTCTCTTCTGTGGTTCACCCTACATGTTAACACCTGCCCTGACACACACTGCGGGAAGCTGGCACAGCTGGCTTCCCGCTTGCAAGACAAGGTGAGCAGAGAGTGCCAGGCCGCACCAACACCTCTGAGTTCCACCAAGGCCTGTTGGTCTGCGTGGTCTTCCTCGGCCACATCAGCTTGGCCTTCTGGGAAATGCCTCCATACCGAAATGCCAGTCTGGCAGATGCGCCGTAAAGGTTATCCCTGATGAGTTGCTGTTGAGGGCAGGGTCACTTTGAAATGGAGAAGACAGCTCAGTCAAAGGTCTTCTCTACTCTACCAGAAATGGCTTCTGAGCAAAGGCTGATAGGAAAGGAAGCCTTGCTCCTATTCACACACCGACACCTGCTGCTAATTTTTATGGGCTCCAGTGTAATAGCTCCCTGCTCTGTGGAACTATACAAATGGTAGTTTTGCATGTATGCCATGTATTTGTAGATTCCTTTTGGCAGAAACACACTTTCTAGGAGTCCTGGGTTGAGAGCTTGAGAAATAAGAATATTAGAGTGCAATCCTTATCCATGTTTAGACAAGCAAAGACCAACAGCCTCCCAAATGCTGGGGGTCCTAGCACTCATTTCCATCTAAACACACACAGGACTATACCCTTAAACAGGTCTGAAACCAATTTAAATTTCAGCATAGATCAACTTTCCTACAGCCTGGTATCCTCCAGTTGTTTCATTTGTTTTACTAGATTTCCCAGCATTCCTGACTATGCTAGTTGGGACTGATAGGAGGTGAAGTCCAAAACATTCCAGGGCTGGGGAAAGCTGTCATAGACATAACCATTTTATTCCTGCCCTCCTCTCTCCCTTCCTCATTCTCATCCATTCTATGAAAAAAGGAAGCAGGAGGAAAGAAAAAGATCCAGTTGCAAGAAAGCTGCCCTGTCTTTGTTTATAGACTCTAGCACTGGAATGATGTCAGCATTACACCAAACTTCCTCACTCAGGTGCCTGCCGAAGATGTCCCCAATCCAGAGGGGTGGGAAGTTGTAGTTCGAAAAGCAAAAGGGTGCCTAGTTGGGGGAAAGCTGCCCTCTCCTACAGGTGAAGGAACACTTTAAAGGTATTGCATACATATACTCCATATGGGTGTGCTATTTTTTAAGTCAGAAATTGCTACATCTGGAATAGGGGGTGAGCAACCGAAGTGCTTATCATGGTTGTTATTTCAAGTAATATTTCATGAAAGGTTCATCTCCTCTAACTGTGGAGAAAACGGCATTTCCCCATGATGAAAGAATGCAATCTTAGTGGTCAGGAAATGCAAGGTGTCTGCCCCAAAATGCTATCTTGCAGAAGACATTTAGAACTCTTCCTAGAAGTGAGTAGCAGATCTGCTTTGGGGATTGGGCCAGATTTAGGGTCTAATGCATTGCAGCAAGTAGAATGTCTTGTCCTTTCTCCCCACAGCAGCCCATCTGTGTCTGGTGGTGGGAATGCCCAAAGGAAGGCTGTTCACAAGCAGAGCCCTTCCTCGCAAGGCAGATCCAAGCTCCAGCCCTTGCTGTGCAAACAAACAAAATGCTACACCTCAATGTGGCAGCCATCTGAAATACTGCATTTGCTTCAGAAGTTTTAAAGGTAATGCAAAAGTGTAATGTGTGAACCAGTGAGGGAAAATTCATATATTCAAACATCCATAGTACAGAGTCAGGGCTGGCTATATATCCAAGTCAAGTTTACTTTTAGAAGTAAAACCAGAAAGGCCGCTGCAGAATGTGCAAGAACACTATTTGCATGTTTTGGTTTTCCCTCCCATCTTTATGGGAAAAGGCAAGTTATAGATTGTCTGCATCTCATTATATCCTCACAACGACCTTGCAAGGTAGATTTGGCCAAGAGACAGCATTTTGTCTAAGGCTGCACAGTGAGCTTTGGGAGGAAGCAAGAATGGGCACTTACGTCTCCAAGATCGAAACTCAACACTGCCCACTGCAGTACTTGCTTTCGTGGGCTTCCATCTGTTGCGGCAATCAATTAACCCTTTCTGGAGGTATCCAAGCACAACGTTCCAGCCAACCGTTCGGGTTTCTCTGCCCCATCTCCCCCAACAGTACCAGTACCCACATACCTGCTTCTCTTGGACTTGAAAATGCCGTCCCTCGCTGGACAGTGCGTTCAGGTGTTACGTGCAAAAGCCCACATGAAGAAGAGATGGGACCGGGATCAGGCCTGATGATGAGGTAGATCTCTGTGGCAAAACTAGCAGGTTTGGCTCCTGCAACCAGTAGAAAAGTGGTTCTCACATCTCAGGTGTGCCGAGGTGCCACATACCTGTTCATGCTGCACCTTCCTTCCCTCTCCCTCTCCCTCTCTGTATGTCAAGGTTAACCGGAGACTGAGCCACTCCTGCTTAAAGTAAACAGGAGCTAACAGAGGCCAAGTTGGGAGGGATCTGAATATTCATGATGGGGGAAATCTAAGCCAAGACCTTTTGCTGCCTAAGAGCAGCTCTGCTTGATGTCATCTGGGGAGGAGAGTAGGAGCTGCAGGGCATTTAGAGTCAATAGGGGTTAAATTCTAGATCAGTTTAGTGCTAGGGCTAAGGTTATTTTCCCCTGTTAGTCTGTTGTAGCAAACAAGGGGTGGAGGAAGGGATGAGCCCTGTGGCACTTTAGAGATTAGTTTATTGGGGCAAGATCTTTCACAGATACACCCAGCCTCCTCAGACACATTATGCTGACTGAAAAAACCACAGGCCATATCTATGTATAATATGCATATAGAAGCTGGAATGCAAACCATGTTAACAAGGTGAAACCCGAGGCACTGAAATGGCAGAGGTCATATCCTGACATACTGGGATGCAGCACAGGGATCCACCATAACCTAAGTGTTGTCTGGGGCCTCAAGGTGTAAATATCCATAGGGGGGAAGGTAACATTTTGCTGCTGTGAGAGAACCAGCCATGAGTGCTCCTTCTCATTCATGACACATCTTCGGGCCCTTTCCTCTATGCCTGTTCATCACATGGCATCCTGTCACTGGATTGCTGGCAGCCAGCAATGAAAAGCATTTGAGATGACACTGAACACTACAAAAATCTGATCAGCGGGATCAACGGTGCACCTTCATCAATTGATGTTGAAGTCGTCAGCTGATGAAGGAACGTGCACATGCGAAACAGCCAGGAGTAAAACCCAGTTTTGCAACTTCGCATGCCAACTACCTGCTACTTGCTATTGGTCACTTTGGTCATCAGTTCCCCACTTTTTCCACATGGGGTGGCAAGCAGATGATGAGGTATTATTTTTTAAAGATCCTCAGAACAATCCTATAAGGGGGCAATCCTATGGGGATGCCTGCAATCCCCTGAACTTGGAGTCGCAAGGCAAGTGGAAGAAGCACAGGGCAAAGGTTGCCTCTCTGCGCCTCCTGCTCTGCAAAACAGCCAGGTAGCTTACTCTGGTTTTGGAGGCGATGGAGAGGCGGCTCAGGACACACTGTCCCCTGGCAGCTCCAGTGTCCTTCCTTTCCTGCCACCCCTCCCCCAAAGCACCCTTCTTCAAGGCTGTTTTTGTGACTTTGGAAAAGCCATTTGGCACCAAGACCAAAGCGATTTTCTGACCCAGACTTGGGAAGCCAACCAATCCAAGGTGCTGTCTAGGATCACAGGACTGCTGTGCCCAGCAGGGCAAGGAGACTGCTGTTTGCAAACCATCCAAGCCTATGCATGTCACTGAGTTCACTGAGCTTCATGAATGTGCTAAGAAGCTGCAATTTTAAACTCATCTCTGAGGAAATGTGTGTTGCACAGCCAGCCTAAATTAAATCACAAAATTTGAACTGGGGCTCCCCCATTCAATCCTAGCCAGGACATATTGCTATCTTCCGTATCAGTAGTGAAGAAGCTCTTTCAGCCCAAGGGCCTTTTCAATTTTGAGAAAGCTCTTGGGGTGAGGATAGTGCATTAGAGTAGACAGGACCAAAGGCAAATGGGATGTGGCCCAAAATATATAAAATACTAACATTTCATAGATTAAAGCTCCTGCTGACAATAGCTAGCCCTTTAGAGAGGCATTTCTTTTTTCAAACTTGTTATTAGCAATCACATGAAAACAAATCAAAAGGTGGAGAAAACTACAGCACTAAAACTGATTGCAGGAACATAAGAGAAATGAGAACACAAACATATCCAGTTGAAATTATTCTTCACAACACCATTGACTGGTGTGGCAGCTGTTCAGTCTTTGAGAATGAGGAAAAAACTGCACAAAAAGACGGCAAACCACCGAAGATTGGTAGTTGAGGGAAAGGAGGCATTGGAGAGCAGCTTTCAGGCCCTGGTCTGAAGTTCCCCTACCTTGCTTTAAATCTGAGGTATACACATGCAGTGCTTAACACCCAGTGACTCACTCCCATGCACATGAATGAATGACCTCCATCAAAACCTGTCACCTCATTTTGTAATGACTTGTCTGTAGTGCCTGGCCTTGGATGACTGGTTTGTACTGGTCAACTCACTGCTTGGTGACTGATATGGAAAAAGGATAAACAAACATGTAGGTGTGAATTCACTTGGAATACAGCAAATTTAAAGAGAAACATCCTTGGAGATGCAGGATGCCCCCTAGATAGGACAGCATCATTCATTGGTTGCTGCTACTTAAAGAGAGATCAACCTGATTTGCCTAGACTCAAGGGCATTGCATCAGGCAGGTGAGGGCAACCATATCACTGGAGAGATAATATTTATTACTTGTTTTCTTCTGGAATGGCACCTCTCCGCCTCCAGGCCTTGAAAAGGAGGCCAGAAGCCTTCCTGATGGCAGATCAGAGAGCAGCCTGCTAGGGCTGGCACTCCATTTGCAGCCTGAATCCCTGGAATGCCACCTCCCCTCCGGTCTGTCGTGGGTCCTGGCTGCAATAAAGCTGCCAGGACTGCATGGCTCTCAGTGGCATCTAATCCCACTGGATCAGCTGGCTTTTTGTCCATGTGTGCATCACTGCTATGCAGGCTCCTGCATTTGAATCTTTCTTCCTGAGGTTTTCTCTGAAATCCTTTCCCCTGTCCATATGGAATTTTAAAGTTTTAAAAATCGGGGTGTTCTTAGGAGCCGGGGTCCTTTAAAGACACACACAGAGACTTTAGAGCATATATAAATCAGCATAGGCAAATTTGCATTTTTATTTATTTTTTGCCCTGGAGGCCTTAACTCTAGGGGCTCTTTGCTAGCAAGCGCCATGCCTGTCTGATTGTCACACTTCCAATTCATCCTGGGCAGGGCAAAATGAAAGTTTTTGTATTTAGGCAACAAACTGCTCAGCCCCATGTTTGCATAACTGGACCAATCCTTAGAACTTTTCTACAGGTGGCTGTTGCTCATCCCTTGGCCTCTTACATCTGCTTTCAGTTTCATCCTAATGCAGATCCAAGCATTTACACAAAGAGCATTTCCTTTCCTCTTTAAACCTCCAGGTGGCAGTGTGGTATTTCAGAAGAGTGCAAATACACAAGAGGAAATGGCCATTTCCTTTGCTTTCACAATAAAGTACCCCTATTCCCTGCCCTAAAAAGCCCAGTTCTGTGCTGGGTAGAGACAGAACTGAAACTGGAAGGCCATAACATCATTTAAGGAACCCATAAACAGCCATGAGTAAGGTAGGCCATGCCTCATGTAAAAAAGCCCTGAGTGCTTATCTATGGTTTAGACAGTGTACACGACCCTTAAATCGGCAAAGAACCATAGATCTTTACTACTCTTTTCTCCAAAATGCTTATGTTCTACATATGAGGAAGCAGCCACTGGACCCCTCAAAAGCATCGCTGAGATTTCTAGAAAGGGAAGGGGTTTCCTATCTCTCAGTAGTAGTCCCTTCCTTGAAGAGCAGAAGCCAAATAAACTCTGCAAAACCGCATCCATTTGCACTGTCGGGCTCCTTTGTGCAGAATGTCAAAGCCAGCTTTTCTGGCCACAGAATCCAAGTTTCCTTGCCATGGGGCTTCAGTTTAATTTCTGAAGATTTACAGCTCTCGATTACCTCTTTGCTGGTGACAGAAAACTTGCTGCTTGCATCACAACCTCTTTAGACAACATTTGTGCTCTTTCTGCCCCACATGGTTTGGGAACAATTTGAACCAGGGTGCCACAAAAGGTTTCCTAAATGTCTGGGACTGATCAGACAGCATTTCAGACAAATTGCTCTGATTTTGTATTATATATCCTGTGCCATTTAAATCAGAGAAACCACAACCTTTTCCTGTACTGTGAGGAGTCCCAGCTAGCTGCATCTGGCTGAAAGTAGCCCAAATGCATAACAATTTATAGGAAGGTTTGATTTCTGTCCAGGACCCTGATAAAGCAAAAACAGTGGTGGTCAGAAAGACAGTGTAAAAGATAAGTTTAGGGCAGTGCAGTATTCCCATCCCCATTCAGCCAAGAACCTTCTGAGCGACTGTGGGCCATTCACCAACTTCAGTCTAATCTACTTTGCAGGATTGTTGCGAGGATCAAAGGGAGCCATGTAAAGTTAAAAGCAGAAAAAGAAGAGAACCATGTAACTAAACTACCTTCAGATGAGCTCCTTGAGGGAAAGGAAGGATTGCATAAATCATACACAAACTTGCTTGATTTCTGTAAAAAAAATATGAAATAGTGCCCAAACCTATGCTTTCAGGGTTTAACACACACACACACACATATATATATGTTAACATACATACATACATATATATGTATGTAACATATAACATATAATATATATATATGTTAACATATATATTTGGACTGTTTCCACCAGTGGGAATATGGGGTGCTGTGCACTTGCCCGCATTCATCTCTTTGCTGCTCTGACTTCGCCACTAAAGAGTTAAAGCCTCCAAGCTTCCAGTTGCCAGGTTGGACTATTGTCCTTTAAATCTATCCTTTCCTTTGAGAGGATTAGTGGGACTAGACTCTGGCTCAGCCACTTGCCAGACCGGTTCTTCTCCCCAGTTGCTTTTTTACTTTCCGGGTGACCTAGCCTTTCCATTTCAAAGTAGAGACAATACAGCTTTGTTTCTAGACCTGCCTCCCTAACCTGGTAACCCCCAGATGCTTTGGACTTCAGCTCCCATCTGCAGCCAACATAGCCAACAGTAAAAAATGTTGGGAGCTGTGGTCCCAAACTTCCGGAAGGCACAGGAGTGGTTGGGGGGGGGGGGGAATCTGTGAACCCAAATTATATTGCACTGTCCTCAGTGAAAGACAACATGCTTTGCAGAGCTAACAGGAACTGGGATTAAGTGTGTGGGTGGTAGATTCTCACATTCTCTGGAACTGAATCAGGGGTGAGAATGTATGTGCTTAAAAAAATCCACAAGCCCCTTAATCCTCTCCCCTTTCCACAGTTTTATCAAACCACGACACTGTACACTGTAATTTCTAAAAACAGTTGCTAAAGGTACGATCATTCGTTAAGGGGCAGCTTCCCCAAATAAGTTGAGCACTGAATTATAGTCTCCCAGTCTGAATTTTATTCCAGTATTTCTAATTATGGTTGTTACTCAAATCCTTCACACTTAAAGCACAACATACCCTGTTGCAGAGAAATATAGTTACACAACTGTTCTGTTGATATCAGCCATACTTAAATTCATCACAAGCATAACATTCTCTTGACTTAAGTCAATGAGTAGACGTAATGAATTGGATCTAATGTAATGAGTTAGTCATACTTAGGGCAGGCCCACTGCAAAGTGACAAATAAGCCTATTTATTATTACATTTATAGCTCACTTTCTCCCTTCAAGGAATCCAGTGTAGCTTACATGATTCTTCTTCTCTCCATAATATCCTCACAAAAAACAACCCTGTGAAGTAGATTAGTCCGTAAGTGGTTCAAATTCAGCTGGCAAGCTTCGTGGCTGAGTGAGAGCATGTGTATCAGTCCAATACTCTCACCATTGCACCACACTGGCTCATGCTCCCCACTGATTTCAATGAGTCTGCTCCAAATATGGCTAAGTTTGGATCTAGCCCAAAGAATTTGTCAGATTGTCATACATATGTTGTAATGTGTGGTTCTGAAAAGTTTTTTTAATCCTCTTCTAGAGTCTAAAATTTATACCAATATATTTCTTATTCCTTAGCATTATTCACAACAGCTCCCTGGAATTTTACGCACCAAGGTATTTAAGCAATTCTCCCTTTCTTTCTATGGTGATAGCCTGATGGGGAAGGAATGGCGAGTTTTTGAAATAACTTGGGACAGCTAAAATGCACTTAGTCTTTAAACCCCACATATGCAATCAGTGTTTCTGAGTAAAGCTTTGATATTGCTCAGTATGTATAATTCAGAACGACCTTTGTTTTGTAATGATTTGAGGTTTGAACAAATAAATGAACTGAATGGAAAACTAATGCTCTAACATTGTCTTGCCATGCAATTCATCAATAAACCCTAAGGTTTCGTCCCCTACTCCAAAGTAGTAACACTCAGTCACATTTCTCAAACAAATGTTTAAAGTTTTCAAAAATCGTATTTTAAAGTGTGCAAAATAACGACTTTGTGCAAAATTCCTCCATTGCAAAAGTTTCACGGTTGTATTTCTCCCTTACACATAGGACCGAAATTCGATTTTTTACTATATAAAAATATAATGATTGAAGTTTGACTTCAAACGTCCACCTGTATCCAATCCATTCCTCTTTGACCTTGCCCTAAAACGATTCTATTTGACTCTTGATTGTACTCTAATTGTACACGCAGATTCATACGTGCATAACTAATACTCGCCTGCAGAAAATCGCACTTCAGAAGAAACGAAGCTGGCAGTTTTCGGGCTCCACCTGCCGGCCGATAGCTGTCACTGCCTCTTTCCCTCTTATTGGTGAATTGTCTTCGGCCAATCAGACAAAAGGATGCGTGGACTTTTGCAGCTCCCTCGTTTCACTTCGCAAAATGGGTGGGTAAGGAATGGTGGGACGCACGGTTTTGATTGGCTGCAGTGAAAGAGCTTGGGCCTGCGTCTACTCTGATTGGCTGCTGAGGCGGAAGGGCGGAGTCTCGAAGAGGAGCAAGTTGTTTTAACGTCGGGCGCAGTGGGACCATGCAGGTGGGGGAGATTTTTTAATAATCTGGGGAGCCGGTTGGGCGGATGCGCTTCTTGCGTCGTTCAGCAGATTTTGGCAGTCCTAGGCTAGGGCGTCTCTGCCCCCTTTCTTCCTAGGAGAGGCTTCTTTTCGGAATGCCACCCCCACCCCCCGTGCTCTCTTTCCTGGAAGTCCTTTCTTCTATCCAGTCTCCATTCTATAGAAAATCAGGATGTAGTTATTTAATGCTAAAGAGGGGGAGGAAGGGAGGAGAAAAAAGAAGAGTGTCTCTGGGCATGTGCGGATTGGCAGACTCTGCCCATGCTTGGAGCACTGTCTTCCTTTTCAAAAACCCTTCAAAGTCTTGGTAGTTGAATTCCATTTCAAATTAAGTAAGGTGCTGACTTCAAAAGGAAGATCTCTCTGATGAGGGTGACAGCTGCCTCTCCAAGCCCTTGGAGGCTTCCTTAGGTGTATTCCAAGCCACTTAATGATGTTTTGTTTTCACCCTCACCCCAATGTAATTGGTAACTTCATGCCAATGCATGTTTTCCTTCTGTAAGAGAGGAATTTGGCTATATAGTGGGTTGTTCTGTGTACTGTAAACATTACATCCCTGAAGAGGATATTAAGATCTATGCCAGTAAGAAAAAAGGAAAAATTCTGCAAAATTTTATAGAAGCAGTATCTAATCCCAGCGAAGCTGCATGGTATAGATAACAAATACTCCAATGTATGTTGCAGATGTAATCATGAAGTGGATATGTATTTTCATATGTGGTAGGAATGTGAATATATAATAAAATTTTGGAAAGAGGTTTATAAAGAGTGCAGTAAAATATTAAGTCTAAATATGGTTATATGCCCCGAGATTGCATTACTTTCAAGGCTTGATTAAAAAACAACAACAATGGAATTGGAATAACAAAGAATTACTAACAAATTTGATGATTGCAGCAAGATCAATTATAGCTAAGACTTGCAAAACAAAATATGATTACCAATTGTCTGATAGCTATATTCTGGACTTCTCTATACTTATGTCAAATTAACAAGCAATATTAAATTGAGAAAAGGTCACATAAAGAAAAATAAGTTTAATGAGATTTGGGGTATATTCATTGATTATGTTTTAAGGAAAAGAAAAGGATTTGAGTTGTCAAAGGAATCATTACAATTATGGAAGGGGGGAATTTCCTGAAGTATTTTAAGGTTTATTTTTTCTTTTAATCATGAGATGCATTTTTGTTTGGGGGGAGGGTACACAGTAATGTAATAAATATTTTTATTGTATTTTTATGTTTGTATTCTAAATGTAGTTCTTTTTGTTTTTATTTTTTAAAATTAATAAGTAAACATTGTATCCTTCCCATTGTAAAAAGATTGTGTCAGTCAGAATTGCCTGTTTTAAGGGATGCTTCACATTTTGTGCTGCTGATGTGCTTTTAGCATGTTCACATAGTAAACATGGCAATATGTGAAAGAGATGATGAGATAAGTAAATATGCAATGGTCACAGGCAACTGCAGTTCTCCAGAGCATGTCAAATGTGCCCATTTCTATGGAATCTCTTACCAATATCTCAGATGAATTCCAGATGCTAAGAGTCATGGGTGAACAATTACATCTTCAGCCGTGTAGAACAGACCAATCAATGGACTTTCAGCTGTTGTTGGAGTACAATTCCCATTATCCCTGACCACTGGAGATACTGGATGGGACTGAGGGAATCTGAGGTCTGGAAAGAAATGTACTGGTTTGTCACAGAGTCCAACAGCAGCAGGACGGCCACAGGTTCCCTACACCTTGTCCAGAATCAGCAGAAGGCCTCTTGGTTTTGACTAGTCAAGCCCTAACTTACTTGGGCATGACAGACCTGACAACTCATATCCTCTGTCCCACTGTAACTTCTTAAATCCATAAGCCATTTTAATTAGATATTCCAGTCTTTTCATACTTAGAGTACAGCTCTTTGCAGCCATGATCTTATCCCTGATCTTTCATAACAGGAGCCAGAATTAAGCAGTAGTGGTAGTTTCCAGGTGTGGTATGAGCAAGTAAGGGAAACAAATTAATAATGAAATGACTGGGTCAGGTTTGTCTTCCTTGGGGCTTCTCAGTCTCTGTTTTTATTTCAACAGGAGTATCAGAACTTGCCGATTGACATACAGACCAGCAAGCTGCTTGGTATGTGTCTCTTTTTTTCCAGGCAGATGGGAATGTAGTTGCATATTAGGCTGGCTGGGAATCACCTTAAGGATGGAGCTTTATTTTATAGCTTTCACTGTTGAGTGAAAATGTTCCCACAACCCCCAAGTCTAAATATCTTTTGGGATAGGAAGTGCTCCTTCTGGCATATGTTTAATGTAGGTACCTTCCTTTTGCAGACTGGCTTGTGGACAGACGACATTGTAGCCTGAAATGGAAGGGCCAGGTCCACGCTGTCCGTGAAAAGATTGCCACAGCCATCCAAGACATGCCTGAGAATGAGGAGATCAAGCAGCTTCTTGCTGGTTCCTGTGAGTGTTTCTAGAGGCTCGTAACTGGAGATATTTCGGATCATATTGCTAGGTGCCTGATGTGCCCAACCTGATACAGGAGAGAGCCAGTCTCAAGATTGCTGGAAAAATAGGAGTTTCAGTCCAGTGTATTATTTAAGGTCGTTCCATTCTTAAGGGAAATCTTGAAAGGTCTTCAGAAAACTCTGCAGGACTGTCTCATATAATTGAAAATAGGACAATATCTCAAATATGAGACAGACCTGACAGAGTTCTTTGAAAACTTAAGAATTCCCCTGAAGACACTAAATAATATATCAGACCAAAACACATTAAGCTTTTTAAAAGACTAAGCTATTTTTCCAAAATCTAGCGATTGGATAATTCCTGAATGCATTTTGGATGCATCCCAGTGTTCTTCTTTTCACTAACCTATCCAGATACCTGAGATTTTAACCAGCCTTAATGGGGAAAAGAAATGGGACTTGCAGAAAGAAACAGAGCTGATCAAAATCTAAGAATCTCTCTCTGATTCTAGATATTCACTATTTTCACTGCCTCCGGATTGTGGAGCTCCTTAAAGGGACAGAAGCTTCCACTAAAAACATCTTTGGCCGCTACTCTTCTCAGCGTATGAAGGTGGGTGAACATGGAGAGGAAGAGGTTCATCTCTAGCATTTCAAAATGTAAGGTAAAGCCCATATTTGGTCCAAGCCTCTTTTCTAAGGATCACAGTCCCTTCCATTACTGGTCCTCCAGAGGCTGCTATACTAAGAGACCAAGGTGCCATCTAGTGTGGATTTTGACCCTACCATCGCTCATAGGAAGAGTCCTGATGGTACCATGTCTGAAGATCAGGAGCAAAGATTCCTCCAGGTTTGAATGATAAGTAAACCTGGAGAGCGTTTCACTTTTTCTTTCCAGGGCATCAGATAATCTTAAAGCACATGACTGGCAATGTGATCCCTGAAGAAGGGAAGAAAATTGAAGTTTCACTGATAGCCGGCCTGCCTAGAGCAAAATAAACAGATGGACCAATACACCCCCAGAGCAGGGGTGGGTAGTCTGTAGGCCGCAACATCTGGAGGACCACAAGTTGCATAGAGCTCGGTCTGGTCTGGTCTCCACTTTGGGGAAAAATGACGGAATACAAGCATCTTTCATTTTCACAATTCTGCTGCATTTTTTCATTCTGGAAACTAAGTTTTTCTTGCTGCCCTATTTTCTGCTGTAGATGCTTCCTTCCATGTGTGTGATTCTCTTTCACACACAGGGTCATGAAGTGGGACTGGGTGTAAGCCATTCCAGGATATCTTCCTCCTCACCCTGAAGGTTTTTTCCCCCTTCCACTGACTCCCAGCCTGCAACCTTTAGAGCTGTTGAGCTTTGTAATGTTCTCACCTGCTCTCTCTTCTGTCTCCCTTCCCAGGACTGGCAAGAAATTGTATTGCTGTATGAAAAGGACAACACTTTCTTGGGTGAGGCAATCTTGGCATGTGGCTCAGAGACGCCACACAGGTGTAACAGTGAAACAAGGATGGCTAATTTTTGTGGGCAGGTTCTTGTACTCAGTGCTTGACAGCTCCAGAACCACCAGATATCCTGCAATGGCCCCCGCCCGGAACGCAGCTTTCTCATCTTGACTCATGGGAATCACATTCCTGGATCTGACCAAGGATCCATTTTGATGCTGTCTCAGGAGTCAGGGCCATGTGGACACTCCCTTCAGAAGTCCTGGACCAGTTTGTTCTTTCCTTGCTGCTTGATGCTGGCAGGGAAAGAGTGGCTCATAAGGGATGGGCATGGAGAATGCAGACAGCAGGGGAAATTGCTCAAGGCACCCCTTGGGGAGGCACAGTAAAGGCCTGAAACGGCAGATTTCGAGCTCCTGAAATGGGGTGGGGGGGTTAGCTGTGATGGTTAGTAGCCTATTTTTGGTTAATGTGTTTATTCCATCTGCTCTAGCAGTGATCTCCACATTCTGGGACTTGAGCTGTAAATTCTTCCTATGTGAATAGATATTAAGACTGGATACTTCTCCACATCAGAGATTCCCTGCCTGTGGAAAGCAAGCATGTCAGAGAAAAGGGTTCTCTTCAGTGTACTGTTTTTCTACACACAGACTATGTGATAGCATTCAAACGTGTACTCCCCCACTTGCATTCTAAAGTGGTACACTCCAAAGAGGCTACCACATGTATTTTAGGAAGAAATAAATTGGTTCTGTGACACACTCCATAAATGCAATACGTTGGCAACTATCATAGACATCACTAAAATAATCCAGACCAAATCTCTGAATAGGCCAAGGATACCTAGGCAGCATCTCTCTAAAAGTTAACTAATTATAGGTTAATATAATTAAGCACAGGAGGTCAGCAACCCAAGGTAGCGTATGTTGTTGTTATGCATCATCAAATCATCTCCAATTTATGGCAGACCTTTGAATGGAAGCCCTCCAAAATATCCTGTTCATAACATGCCTGCTTAGCTGTTTTAAATTCAAGGTTGTGGCTTCCCTTATGCAGTCAATCCATCTCTTGTTTGGTCTTCCTTTTTTTCTGCCTTTAACTTTCCCTAACATTATTTTCTTCCCCATGATTGCCTTTTTCTGATGTGAGATAGACATTTCAGGTGACTCTTAGGAGTTTGGAAATAGCAAGAAAGGAAGGTAATGAGCTTATCCTTTTGTCATTCCAGTGTCAGGAAATATCAGCTACAAGGAAATGTAGCTGCATGCTTTGCTGGCCCTTTGTGAAAGGATGACTTGTAAAATTTATCAACAAGAGTTGTTGCTTTTAAAATACCCATCAGATCCAATTTTAGAAGGGGCATTTAGCTTAAAAAAACCATTGGCTAATGTATCACCTATATAGCGGGGCAGGGGCAGTTTCCCACTGCTTTTCATGTTGCGTGTAGCTTGCCTGTTGCAATATAGCAGGGTAAGTTGAAAATTCTTTCCTCCCACAGTGGAATTGGCCAGCCTTCTGGTACGGAATGTCAGCTACGAGATCCCTTCTCTCAAGAAGCAGATTAGCAAGTGTCAGCAACTGCAACAGGAATACACCCGTAAGGAGGAAGAGTACCAGCTGGCAGCCACTGAAATGAGAGAGCGTTTCTATGCCTCCTGCAAACAGTATGGAATTACGGTACCAAGTGTGACTGCCTTTTACTCTTTGCTCAGTCTCTTTGAGCTGCTCTGCCCCCCACCCCCCAATCTCTTGGGGAAACCTTGCATTCTCAAGCTGTCATCCTCAGCTTATTTTTTAAATCACCTAAATAATTTGTCACCCACAACCTTTTGTGACTCCACCCAGACACTCTGGGGTAATCAGAACTAATGGTAGATTAACTACAATTTGTCGCTGGGCTCACACATCATGAAATAATCTATTGGAACTTGCATATTCAACATAATGGTGGAACATGCTATGGCAAATCATGGCAAATTTACTTTACAAATCAAATTTACTTAAGATGTGCCACTGTTATGTGCAAACGGGCTCACCTCTCTCTCTTGCTCTTTCTTTTCATGCACCTGTATACGCACGTGTCCTCGCTTTCTCTTTCTCTCTCATAGAAGAAGCAAGTGTAATATTATTATAAACTAAGCAGTTGCTGAAAATGCAAACATAGCAATCAAAGTCATGTGTTTCAGTGCACCAGCGTTGGGGAACCTTTGGCTCTGCAAGTGTTGCCGGCTGCACCTACCACCCTCCCTGACTATTATCTGTGCTGGTTGGGGCTGTTGGGAGCTGGAGTCCAACATTTTCAAGGCTACAAATTCACCATTTGGAGTTGGAAGGGGTGGTCAATAGGTCATAGGCATATCAACTCCAGCCCTCAGGTGCCAAAGCTTCTGGTAGACATTGCCTGTGTTTCAGACAGAATGTTCACCCGCTGGTGAGGAACAGCTGTTTCAGAAGGACAAATTAAGGAATGATTTCACTTTTTAGAAATCTAAACATAGCAGAGTGCAGAAATGTGCATGCACAGAATCTCAGAAGATTGACAGTACTGCCTTTCATTCTCTCCCAGTGTTATCAAGCCCACCTTATTTTAATTTTATGTGCATAAAATGTGTTCAACATAAATGTCTGCCTTATTGACCTTTTGCTTGTCAGACTTCTCTTAATCTATGTTACCAAGGGTGTAAACATTCATTGGTTTTATTCTACAGTTTTCTATATATTGTGGAGGGCATTCTGAGGGTGCAGAGGTACTTCCAAGAGAAAGCTCTTCAAGATTCTTGGGAAATGTGAACAGTGCCAGCCCAGTCTTAGAAGGCCCTGTCTCTAATCTTCTCAGGGGGATGATGTCCGCCGGGAACTGCTGGCCTTGGTGAAGGACTTGCCATCCCAGCTTGATGATATTGGAGCTGGTGCCAAGGGGCTTTTGGAAGCCATTGACCTGTACCAGGCCTGCGTCCAGTTTGTGTGTGATGGGTAGGTGCTCATAAGCTGGAAAGGCTCTGGAATCTGGCTCCTCTTTTCCATTAGTTTGGTTCTGCATTGCTCAGTGGTACAGCACAGAATCTGCACACCAGAGATCCCAGGTACGATCTCCAGGATCTCTGCTTACAAGAGGGACTGCTAACAGACCCTGAGGAAGGCCCTGGCCTTGGAGAACTGTTGCTGTAGCCACCTTAGGGCTGGATGGACCAATGACTTGATCAGCACAGTCATTTCATGTATTCTGGTGCCTGCACAGGGATACTGAATCTCTTTCTTTTGAGGGATGAATTCCATTTTGGAGAAGCTCTTGGGGGGGGGGGGTCTCCCTTTGGTTGGGGCTTTGGTTGGGGCCAAAGGGGCATGGCCAATTTTTTTAAAAAAGCATATTTCAGTGTAAAGCATTTCCTGCCTGCGACTAAGCCATTAACAGAAGTATTTCCAGCTTTTAGAATGGGGAGAAAAGTGCTCCAAAGCTGGGAGACCACTGGATGATCTGTGGTCAGGAAAATGGGGTAGGGAAGGCTGGATCAGGAGCCCCAGGTATGTTGGATCTCGCTTGAAAGGCTGAGACCCAGCACTGGGGACTAGAACTTGCTCCCATGGAGATCCACCAGACTCCATTTCTTAGTTCTTTCTGCTGGCAAGTCAAGATATTTTATTACAAATAGCTTTTCTTGTTTGCAGAGGTGTGTTTTGTATGTGGTTTTTTGCTCTTGCTGCTTTTTAGTATGCTTCTTGAAAATAGTGTGCTATATTTTGTTTACATATATTTTTACTAATTTTGGACTTGTACTTGCTGACAGTTAGGACTCCTAGGGTATGGAATGGGCTTCCATGGGAGGTGGTTGAAGCCCCATTGGTGAGGGTGTTCAAGGATAAGCTGGACATGCACATGGTGGGCATGTCATGAGCGGAGCCAGCTAGAGCCAGGGGTCAGACTAGATGGCCCGGGAGACCCCTTCTGACTCGCTGTGTTTCTTTGTTGTTGTTTAGACATCATGTCTGTTACAATAGGGAAAATCATTGACAGCCTGATCCTAGGCATATTTATTCATATGTCCCACTGATTTCAGTGGGATTTCCTATGCAATCTTATATATATGCTTACTCAGAAGTGTGCACACGACTGCCTAAGAAATGGTCTCCATTACTTGGAGGTTCACAGGCATATTTGGGTATCTAAAAGTGCAATCCTGTGCATGTTTGACAGGAGGAAGTTGCACAACTCCATGTCGGCTGGGGCACACCTCAGTTGTAGGACTTGGTTTCACTCTAAGCATGTGTAAGATTGCACCCCAAAGAACTTAGGTAGCAGATGCTATGGACCTGAGCAGGTAATCTTGATTTACTAACTGGCAAGGTGCAATCAATCAAGAAGGCCGTTTGAACAAGGAACCATCTTCTTGATGCGTCTGCCTTAGCTTGCTGATCTGTCGTCTTCCCTTTCATTCTAGCTCCACAGAGCAGGTAGTCCCGTTATTGCGACATGTGCAGGCTCAGGGCAACACGACCATCTATGAGTGGAGGCGGGGCATCAAGCCGACCTCGGTGGAGCGACCGAAGACTGAGGAAGCGGTGGAAGCAGCGGGGGAGGATGTGGTATGTCCCCGTGGCGAAAGGAGTCGAATTGGGTGCAGTGAAATATACATGGTTTTTATACAACTTGCAGTGGGAGAGGTGGGGAGAATAATGCTGGGCTTTATCCAAGCCATTGCTTGGCCCTAGTATTTGCTTAGAACCGCCAAAGTGCAGTGCTGCTGTGCTTTTGCAGGGCGCATGCTCCTAATTGCGGAATAGCCCTGGCCTGTTAGACAAACTCAGATCCCTAAATGTTCTGCAGGCATTGAGGTCTGGTGGATTGGGTGCTGGACATAGATCTGAGGTCTGAGTTCAAATCCCATCCAAGCTGTGGACTAACTAGATGGAATGTGGGTGTGTTCATAAAAATAGGAATGGGATGATTATGGGAATCCAATTATGGAGTGTTTCTTTGGAAGAAGAAAATACTATGCAAAGTTACTTTGATTCAGCCTAGACGTGAACTGCAAAATTCTCCAATGAAATGTTGGTTACTGGGCCCATGCTTGTCTTCTGGGTTGCAGATTGACTGGGGTGACTTTGGAGCAGAGTCAGCATCGGCTCCTGAGGTAGATTATGGTATCTCGGTTGAAGAGGCAAGTGAGGAGATAGACTGGGGCATTTCTGTGGAGTCAGAAATGCAGGTGAGTGTCTTCTACATCTGCCTGCCCCTCTGTTCAGCCAGTGCTTGTATGAGCTTCAGGCCCTGTCCCAGGTCATTTAAACTATGTCTTAGGCTGTGGCCTATGCAAAGTCACAGTGTCATAACATTTCATACATTTTATCAGTCAAAAGAATGCTAGGCTTTTTCTTTGCAAATGTATGAAGTAGAAACTTGGATAGGCATGGAATAAAGTTTAAGATCCTGGGACAACGTGTCACACAATGCAGTCCAGCTGCACAGATCCACCATCATGTGACTCACCGTGCTTGCAGGTGCCAGTCTCTGAAGTAGCCTGGGTTTCCTTTTCCACAGGAGAGCAGTGCTGCAGGCATAGACTGGGGAGACGGGAAGGATGATGCATCTCAGATCACACTGTTGGAGGCTGGCAGTGAAGGTAAGAGCTTTCACACCCTGTTTCTGGGAAGAAGTGCTACACTCGTGATACAGAGCTGGGGTAAAATCCTTTGGGCAACAACACTGGAAAGTTAACAATAAACTCTACAAGTGAACCCAAGACAATGGCAAAAAAAGAAGAGATCCCAGGCTTTTAGCAGAGAAGTGATCCCCTTACGCTGTTAACAAAAAGAAAGGTTGTGGGGCTTGGGTATTTGGGGGGTCCATGTCTTCTGACACAGAAGCGAGCCCTTGGATACACGTTGTACAGGCACAGACTGTGTTCTTCTTTCTGCAATTTGTGGCTATGCTGCAAGGAGTCCCAGCTCAAATTATGGCCTGGCTGCATGCTTTCTAATCTCAGATGTGTTCAGCTTATTCCTTGTAATAAATGTAGGCCACCATTTTATGGTGGACTTTATCAGTAAGACGAACTACTGACTAGTCTTACTGATACTAACTACTCAAGGATATGCATTTGGGATAAAAGAGTCAAGCACAGCCACAAATAGGCCCTTTCCTAAGGGACTTGTGCAGGAAGATGGCAGGAACAACCTATCCCAGTGAAAAATCATGTTATGTTCCTATGAGGTGCAGCAGAGACTAGTAGTAGAAGGAACCGTGTGGTGCAAGAACTCTGGGCAGCAAAGAGAGGCTGAAAAGCCTGGACCAGCAACTGGGAAAAGGGTGAAATCTGGAGTTAGATTAAAAAATTAACTTACTTAGGTTAAAATTTTTCTTAAATTAGGTGAAAATTAGCTTAAAATGCTTGCTGCTGCATGATTTCTCAATCCTGTTATCAAAATGAAAGTAAGTATCCAGCCCTCTTAGTCTGGGCTGTTATGATTAAAAAACTACGTGTAATATTTGTACAAGGCTACATCTTTTTGAGAGGGGCCATTTACAGTTTTGTCTCTTTCCCCACTCCACCCCCCACCAGCCTCTTGTTGCTTTCTCTTACCGTTTACCCAAATCTTGTATCCTGCTATTACTTTCTTCCCTTCTCTGAACTCTCTCAATATTCTGGGAGAAAAGTACAGCCTCTAAATAACTTAGAAATAGCCTATTTATATAGACTGCAGATTTATTTCTGTGGTGGAATGAACTGAAATTGTTTCAGCCCAACATTGAGATTCTGAATTGGCAAAGATCTGATGCTGGAGATGCTGAAAGGTAGAGAAATAGCTTTTCTGCTAGGCCTGAGGAAGAACATGTAGCTTCCAAATCTGTAATTTCCTTGTGTAGTTAAATGCAGTGCCAAAGATGCAAGTGTTTTACTCTTCCCAGCACCACACATATGCATGTGTGGACACACCGATTCTTCTGTAGTAATACATATTAATTACTGTTTACCCTGGCTGGACTCTAAAATTAGTATCAAGCCTGATTGAGGGAAAAGCTGCCCAGGCAAGGTGATTTGTATGTCAAAATTGGCAGGAGTGGAAGGGGTTATGTGCCTCTCTCTCCCCTGATTTGCCTCCACTAAAGCTTCCCCTACTCTCTGATCAGTGTTTCCTTAGCAATGTCATAAGTAAATTTGTCCAGAATCTGACTATTTGGCTAAGAAATGGGAAGGGAGCAGACACAAGAGGGAGCTGTTGGATGTGAGTTTCTTCCTCTCGCAGGGGATCCTTATCCACAGATCAGTACCATGCCCAATCTGCGTTCCCTGGTGCATTTGCTTGATTTCCTTTCCAGTTGTTGTCCTGGTAGTTTTGCTCTTTGTGCATCAGTGGCTCATACGTGTGCCAGAAAAAAACTGCAGTATTCCCAGGCTGCTGGCTTCAAAACAGCAAACTGGAGTCTGTTGCCGGTTCATAAATTTTCCTTCGGGCAGATATGAACTTGAGTTTGACTGAAGGCTTCCTGAGCCAATGCTGCACAGTAGTGCTCAGAAGGGGATTTGCACAACATGACAACCCACCATGTGTTGCTATCCACAATGGGTTGTCATGCCATATGAACCCCAGACCAATTCTTGCAGGCTGGCTTGCTTGAGGGCAACAAACCACCTTGACAGCACATGGATTGTTATAGGGATTGTTGTACTCACAATGGGTTGTCATGCCATCCAACCCCAGGTGACCCCATTGTGGGTTCAGGAACCAGCAAGTGAGCAACTTAGAAGGAGTGGCAAATTTTCCTTGCCTTTTGGGAAGGCTTTTCTTGACAAATCTCCTTGTGGATTTTTCAGGGGGATGCCTGCTTTCACATCTGCATATATCCAATGGGTAATAAAACATGTGGATCCCTGATACAAACAAACAAAGCCCTGGTGTTTAACAACTAACTGTCAAAACTTCAGTTCCTTAGAAAAAGGAGTAGTTCATCTTTTCCCATGTTCCCAGGCACCTACAGTCTTAGGAACAAGTGGAAAAGTGAGAGCATTTTTAGGACAGTGTAGTCCTAAAATACAAAGCAAAACAAATTTTATCACAAAATGGAGTAAATCCCCCTGTCCCCTTTTCACAAATGCAGCTTGCTTGTGACTTTGACTTGACTTGACAGTTTGCCTTCTGACAGCTGTCAAATGAAAGCAAAGGGGAAAAGGCAGTCTATACCCTCTCAGGGTTAGTGTCCAAGGCTGGTACCTGCAGCACATGACCCAGGTGAGGCTGCCCATTTTTAGACCTCTGTAAGCCTTTCTAGATGGTCCTGGGATTTGCTCGAAGTCCCCATATTCTGCACTTCCAGGCCAAAGTTTTCTCTGACATCCTCTGACACATGAGGCAGTAGGGTAGGGAGCTATTTAGGGCAGAAAATACAGAAAACTCATTGGCACCAACAGTGACTGCCTTTTAAGATGCAGTGCTCAAAAATACATATTTGAGTCCTTGAAAGTTGCAACAGCTAAAGCTCCTGGCTTATATTGCTAAATTTTAGAAACTAAGGCATGGAGGAAGCACCATGTCTCTGTGATATCGCCTCACTGCTATATATGAATTGTGCTCTCTTTAAACAGCCTTGCTTTAGCAACCTGTTTCAAACATCCTTTGAAATAACAAACAAATCAGAATTCTGCATCATCAGGCTAAATCCTAAGTCGTGTAAAACTAAATCCTGTGTCCTGTATACATGATGCAGAATTATGCACATTTGTGCATACTGTTTGCTTTAAGTTGTATCATTTATTCTGTTTCTCCTTGTAGAGAGGAGTTGGAAGAGCTTTGGTCCACTGAAATCCTTCTCATCTCCCCTACTCTGTGGTTTCCTCAATTCACTAGATACTTCTCTTATAAATTCCAGCTCATGTTAATAGACAGAAGGGCTACACACTGGGGGTGGGGGTCTGTATGGTACCAAGACCCCTCCTTATGCAGTTGTTCCCATCTGCCAGTGGGACTGTTACTGATCTGTGACCTTGCAGGAACTCTTCATTGTGGGGGCTTTACAGACTGTGTGTCTGGTGGGGAGTAAAAAGGTGAAGGAGAAAGTGTGAGTCTCAGAACTTGTAGTGTTTTGTCGTAAATCAAGTCTGCTTTCCCCCTACTCTCCTCTCCACCCCTAGCCTCAGAGGGAATCGCGCGAGGACCTGATGCACTCAGTATCCTGGAGAACTCAGAGAGCCGGAACCAATTCATTGATGAGCTCATGGAAGTAAGAGCGGCTTCTGCAGTGCTACTTTTATGCACCAGCTCAGCCTCCCCCAACCTGCAGCCCTCAGCTGTGCTGAACTAAAGCTCCCTGAGTATGTTGCACCACAGCTTTTGCCAGCTCCGTTGGCTGGCTGCCTGTTGTAGTCTGGGCCCAGTTCAGAGTACTGGCACTAACAAGACCCTAAACAGCTTGGGGACAGGATATCTGAGGGAACTCCTGTCTCCAAATATTCCTACCAGACCACTAAGATCTTCAATGGAGGTCCTTTTCTGAGAGTCACCCCCCAGGGAAGTGAAGGGGAAAATGGCTAGGGGAGGCCCTTCTCTGTGATTGCCCCTCATTTATGGAACACCCTCCTCAAGGAAATGCACCTGGTGCCATCACTTTTTTAATTTAACAGGTGTTTTTAGTAGCCGATTTGGTTTTTAATTTATTGCTGTATCTTCATTGTGACTGTTTGGCTTGAACATCAGATTTTTTTATTAATGGATTTTATTCTTGTGCAGCTGGTTTTTTTGTCTTATTTATTGTTGCTGTAGGGGTCACATAGAACATTGATTTAACAATCAATAACTAACTGGCTGGGGTATGCTGGCTGTTTTAGACTTAAAAATCTGGAGGGCACTAGGTTGGAGAAAGGTGCTATAGGTTAATCCCTTTCTCTCTACTAGATCTTTCCTCTCCCTGTGACCTAAAACCATTAGCTTATCCTTCTCTCCAGTCCCCTTGTGACAGATTGGAAGAGACCCATATTCCATCATGTGAAGTGTCTTTTGAGATACAACATGATGGTCTTGGTTCTCAAATTTAACTCACCAACTGTTTTCTTTCCTTGCACAGCTTTAGAGAAAACTTAGAAATCCTGATTCCTCATTTTTTCTGCTTAAAGCCAGCAAATCCCCCCTCACCCCAATCCCCAATCTCCAATCTCAGAAAAATCATTGCTTTTTCTTTTGTATGGGCTAACAACAGAACTAGTTCTGACAGAGGTGGTAAAACTGGGTCTCAGCTGAGCCTCCCATGATAGCTTGTTTCCCTTGTGGAAGGAGCCTGTGCCTGCAGTTTGAAGGGTGCATTCACAAGCTCTTGGAAGACTTAATTAATTAGTTTAGACAAGTGACGTGTTGAACCACAAGGCCCATCATCCCCAGGCAGCATGGTGAATGGCCATACCAGCTGTGCTGCTTCAAGCATCTTTTGTGCACCATAGACTTCCTCTTCTAGTCAGGACAGGACAATAACACCAGATCTGCACCTGTTTCTCAGCATCTAACCTCTCAGAGTTCAGTCTGATGCCAGCTCCAAAACGGCAAAGCTCCTTGAGTATATTCAGTAAAACAACACACAGGTTTACAATCTAAAGAGCACAACATGTGAGGAAAAAGAAAGGAGAGGGAAGAGGAGAAAGTTAAGGGCTGGTGGAATGGCTCTGCATCCTCTTCCCATCTTTCTCAGTGCAGCGGTGACAGCTGAGGGGGGAGGCGGAGCCTGGCAGGCACCTTTGCTCTGCCTTCCCACTGCCTACCACTGTCCTGTCTCTCCCAGCTGGAGATCTTCCTCTCCCAGCGCATCGTTGAGACAGGTGAAGAAGCAGACATCCTCTCAGTGACGCAGTTCCAGCTGGCGCCACCCATCCTGCAAGACCAGACCAAAGAGAAGTTGGAGGCCATGGTGGCCACCATCCAGGACCTTATTGGCCGGCTGACCAGCTTGAGAATGCAGCATCTTTTCATGATCCTCGCCTCCCCAAGGTTGGTGACGTTTTCCTTTTCACCTCTTCTGCCCCACTTTCCTTTGGAGGCACAAGTGAAGAAGGGCTAGGGAGGAGGCAGGCACTGTCCCTTTTGCAAGCCAGGTTCTGATGGTTTCAATTAACAGTGCAGGGCCCAGGATTAATCTCACACTTGGTTGAAATGGAGGAGAGATACAGGAAGGATTGGTCAGAAGAACTGGTGGCATGGCTCACAGGCTTTGGCAGTGCAGGGGCCTTCTAGAGTCTGGAATTCAACACATAGATTGGATTTCTGGAGGACCTTGCTGTATGAGAATAGACACAATTTTATGGCCTGAGTGAAAGTTGTAATTAGACCATGTCGGAACAACTTGCAAGGCTTCTAGGATTTATTTATTTTGATTTATATCCTGCCTTTTTCCTACAAAGGGCTCAAGGCAGCTCACATCATTCTCCTCCTCCACCTTATCCCCACAACAACCACCCTGTGAGGTAGGTTGGGCTGAGAGTCTGTGACTGGCCCAAAGTCACCCAGTTGGTTCCATGGCTGAGCGGGGACTAGAACCCAGATCCTCTGAGTCCCAGTCCCATGCTCTTAACCACTACACCACACTGGCTCAGTGACACCATTCGAAAGCGAGCATGTCTACTCAGCATGTAAGCAGGGAAAATCTTGGCATGTCTACTCAGAAGTAAGCAGGATTGAATCATTCAGAGCTTTCTCTGCAGGCCTGCCCCTTCTCCTTACTGGGGATGAGCTTTCCCCTGCTAGGCAAAGGCCTGGGGGAAGTAGTTGGCAGAACAGAGGCCAAAGGTTCCCCATGGCTGCCTTAATAGGTAGTAATGGTGCTGGAGGCTGGACCAGATAGTCATCTCTGTCACTTCTAATGCTGTGGTCCTAGGATCTCTGGGTCTTGCATGGGTGCTCTTGTGGTTCAAGTGCTTGGACCAAAGTTTGCTTGCAGGTCTCTCATGGATGCACTTGTGATTCAGGTATGTGGACCGTGTGACTGAGCTCCTCCGCCAGAAATTGAAACAAGCCGACCTGCTACTCCTAAAGAAGGAGCTGATGATTCAGAAGCGGCAGGAGGCATTGGAAGAGCAAGCCAGCCTGGAGCCAAAGCTAGACCTCCTCCTGCAAAAAACCAGGGATCTGCAGAAACTGGTGGGTGCAGTCAAAACTGCAAAGATTGGGGACATCCAACCTCTGAGTTCAACTGTGCAAAGATCTTTATAGTTCCATTTCAGATGTTCTCCAATATGATCCAGTGTGATCATAAACTGTGTTTTCCTCCCAGGAGACTACCACCCATGGTGGAATGCCTGGGGAAAATAGGGAAAGCTCTGCAAACCGGATGATGTTCTGCCAGGCCTGCCTAGTAGTTGGACTGGTGAGCCAGTAAGTGAATCTGAAAGGCAGGGAAGGTTAATGGTTATTCGACTGCAAATGAGTCATTAACTGAAAGATGAAATTTCAGGTTGGAACTGTGTGTCTGTAGTTCTGGATTATTTTCTTACAGTCTTTTCTTAAGAAAATGTTTCATTAGCTTGAAGTTAAAGATCACTTGGGGGCAGGAGAAGAGCTGGGCTTTCCTTTCTGCTGTGGTTTTTTTTTAAACTGAATATTGCCCCCTAATGCTGTTCTTACCTCTATTGGGGAAAATATATCCTTTACTCAAAAGATTGGAAAGATGCTGCAGAATTACCTTCACTCATCCTTCCCCTTCCCCCATTCTTCCCTTTCAATTCACAAATTCCCTTAGCTTTCTTTAGTAATCAGAATTTGCTGTAAATCAGGTTATTTCCCCTCTGACCATTTTGCCAGGCTAAAAAAACAATTGTGAGGAAGGGCAGTGGCAATTTTCAAGGAAAAAGCTACAATGGCAACAGGTCAAAAAAGATATTATTCATCTTGCATCAGATTTCTGCTTCAAGCTGCAGCTTCAGAAGCTGTGTTGTATATAAATACATAAATAATGAATAGAAGATACATGTTAAATAGCTTTTTCCAGAAATACATTATATTAACCCCTAGGTTGACAAGCCAGGCCAAAATAGAGGGCGGTGGAACAGGGGTCTCCAGTGTCATCTCTGAAACTCTCCTCTTTTTGCCCCTTCAAAAAATAGGTTTTAAGAAAAACCTTGAAAAATGTTAAGGCAGAGCCCTTTCCTGTTCTAGTTTGCTGTTCTCCTGCCCAAATACCTGACTGGCCATTTCTGCCCTGCCCTCTTCTGCTGATGGGGAGCCAAGGAGACACCCTTTCCAGCAGACGCCTCCTCCTGCTTGGCTGATAACCCAGAACCTTCCCCTGGGTAGAGTCGTCCAGCTGTGGGAGAAAGAAGCCACATCATTCTCCAGCATGTCACTCCCTCCTGGTTTGCTAGGGAGTGACCAAACTGAAAACTTTGACCTCTGGTCTCCCACAATTTCTGGTGTCTGCTTCTGCACAGTGTCCGAAGCTAAAGCTCTCTCTGCACTTCAGGTCCCATAGTTACTACATGTGCTTTTATATGTAGTATAACTTCAAACTTTTCTATTTAATAAACCAGGAAAGGCCTGGTGGGGTTGAAGATACACACAAAATACAAGTTGTGCCTTTCTTAGGTGTAGGGAGGGGGCTGATGCTGCAGCGGGGGGTCCACATTTTGGCTAGGGCTCTATGTTTCATGGTGCCATGCAAGTGAAATTTCAGTAATCAGTTACCAGTTCTTGAAAATCTCTGTGTTCCTATTTAGTAAAAGTAAGGCAAGATTCCGGCTGTAATGGCTATGGATATAAGCTTGAAGCTATATATGGGCAATATCTGGTGATACCTCAGAAATTGATTCCCCCCTCAGTCCAAAATGTATAAAGATTTGAAATTTTTTTGGGGGGCGCGGGGAGTCATTAAGATTTTAAATAGGAGTTTGCCTTTCCCCGTTACTACACTGCACAATTTATTCTGCTTTTACTAAAGACTATGCAAATTTAGTGGCAGTGCATACAGGCCATAGTAGTATTACTGTGTGCAAGCAGGGCCTGTGACAGTTAAAGGGCCTCAGAGAGCCAGGCTGGGAAAAATCGCTGCCTGAGATCTTCTCGTTTCAGCAGTAAGAGATGTGTTAAATGGACCAGTGGCATTACTTAAGATAGCCCCTTACAGCTGTAGCTCAGTTTTCCTTGGGGCTGGTGTAAATGCAACATGGTCTTGCCCCTTCATCATAGTTAAGAGATTAGGAACAAACTGCAGAATTGCATGATCCTCGCTGCTCCCATGTTCAAATTCTCCTTGTTTTGGTTAACCAGGATTGGAAACTACTTTCCACCACTGGCCTCAAGACATACACTTAAGTATGGTGAAGGCTGGAGGAGGGAGAAGGATGCTGAGGGAAAAGGCAAGGGAATAGTTGCACAGCCTCTGTAGATTTTGTTTGTTTGTTTGTTTAGTCACAAAGTCATGCCTGACCCATCACGACCCCATGGACAACATTCCTCCAGGCTCTCTTGTCCTCTCTGTAGATTAGGCTGTGGCTTCTGCAAGAGCATTTCTTGGTGAACTGTGCATTGTTTTAATCAGCAGATTCCATTTGGGTTTTCCAGATGGAGTAAAAAATATGTGGAGAACAAGAAGCTTCTAGACGGACCTCTGGCCATTCGCAAGGCCTTGCTGTAAGGGCCACTCAGAGTCTTTAAAAGCTCAGCTAGGCACATGCCTGTCCTGGGAAACTTGCTGTAGGATCCTTGAGGTAGGAACCTTGCCATTCGGCTTCAGAGGACTTCTGACAGAGAGCCTTCTGTCTTTCAGATTGAAGCGGACATCTCTAAACGGTACAGTGGCCGGCCTGTGAACCTAATGGGTACCTCCCTCTGACTCCCCCTCATCATGCTTGCCTCAAGCACCCTTTGTGGGGTTGGAGTAGGAAGGTATGAACCACGACCTCAGTCGGAGAGGAGCAGTGCCAAGGAGGAGGAGGGAGAAGAATGAAGCAGCTTTAGAAACAAGAAGGGATACCATCTGAGAAGGCTGCAGGACTTTGGGCTTCCTTGTCTGCATTCTCTGTGGAGCAATGAGCAGGCCCCACACGGTTGAATAAAGCTGTTGTCCCTTTGTGAGGTCCTCTCTTCATCTTGTATCTCCTTTGACTGTGGAAGGTATAACATGGCTCCTTCCTGGTTTCTTGCTGGGGACTTAACATCTTAGTGCCACTAAGATATTAGTACTACTTTTGCTTTGGGGAAGATGTTTGAACTAGGGTAGAAATACCACTGTTACTGTTGGGCCACATTCTGTGGTTTCATCTAGCAGACAAATGCACCTACTCTCTTTGGGATACTTATTTGACCCCCATTTTCCTGAAGAAGAAACTTCTAGCACAGACGTCTCGTGCTTATCTCCGGTTCAGCAGTGGTTTTGATCCAGAATTGCTCATCCTTATATTTGATGTGAAGCCAACTTAGACTCATTTAAATGAGTGGGACTTATCTGGCGCCAGCCCACTGATTCTGCCTCCTCTTACACTGGTTTCTAGTACTGTGGTTAAAACCTCCGCTGTGAGAAAGATTCCCAGGGAGACTCGAGTGACTCCCACTTGTCTGGTGCGATGCTAGCTCTGTCCTGTAGGCTGAAGATAAACTTTCAGCTTTGCAGGCTGTTGAGTTCCCTGAATTACCCTTTACGTAGCTCGGAGCAAGAGTTCCCTGCATAGAGACCTCCCTTTCCTCAATAGTGAAATGTTAGCACTGTTCTCTCCTAGGCAAATAGGGCCAACGTGCTACTGTTGGAGATCCCATTTCCACTTTGTCCCACCAGCAACCCAGGGTTTGAATGACAAGCAGAAAGGTAGCCAGGTATGTGGTGAGCCAGTCTGTCTGTCTGTCCGTCCGTCCCTCCCACAGTTAGCATCCAGGAAGCTGTTGGATCAAAGCATCCTGAAGCTGTGGATGAAAGACAGAGGGCAGCGGTGCCAATGAGCAGTTCCTTGTCTGGCCTCAGATCTGTACCCATTGTCTCTTATCCTGGCAGAGGATACCAAAAGAGTCCGTACCACCCCCCTTTTCCAATTATTTGGGGAGGAGGCAAAGAGAAGGGTGATCAGTTGGGGGGGGAGGTGATTCGATTTTAATTTCATAGGAGAGCAGTTGATTCATTGCTCTTTGTCGGTGGTGTTGACTCTCGTAATGACTTTCCATCAAAATGAAAAGTGGAATGACAGCGTTCATTATTCCTGCTGCTTGTTATCTCAGCGGCGGGGGGAGGGCTGTCCCCTCCCCCCCACGCCGCCTTTCAGCCATCCTGGACAGTGAGTGATGGGCCCTATTAATCACCGACCCCGCGGACTCTGGCGGACACACGCTACCCGGCAGAGAAGGGGAGAGAGATAAGGCACCAACAGCCGCTCCAATCAATTAATGTCAAGCGGGACTCTGCCGCCCCTCCCACGCTGCCTGCTTTCACCCTCTTGTGGTTATGGAGGTGGACATCTCAGGGTGAGGTGGGGTGCTGGGAGAGAAAAGGCAAGCGAGAGCACTGCCCACTTGGACGGTTTGTTGGAAGACCCCTGGTCCCTTCCATCAAAGCCAAGTCTTCTGGGTTGGGAGAATTTTTGAGCCAAAGCTTCTAATGGGATTGCTGCTCTCACGCCACCTCCAAAAAAGGAGGTGTCTGTCAATTCTGTCATCCCCCCCAGTTGCATTCTTTCTGACACGCCCTCTCTGTAAATCTATTGGACAACTGCAGACATATTCCAGCCCTTCAAAGCCTGGTGAAATCCCTTATGACCCACCTGCTGGCTAGCTTATTAGCTGTGATGTTTTGTATCTGGGGCACCATTTCTTAGGCATTCTCTCCAAAAGAATCCTGTGAATTTTACTTCTGTGAAGTGGCTGAGTACAATCTCTTAACTAGTCCTGCTTTCATGAAACTATAACTCCCAGAGCTCCCTGAGAGAAAAAGAAGGACTTTTAAACAAGTTTATGGTGTGTAGATTTGTGTGGTTAACACCAAGCTTGAAAAAGATGAAAACCAAGCCGTGTGTGCAGTGCTTCCAAACAAAGCTTTTGCTGTGCAATCACACTGCCCTGCTCACAGAATTTTGACACCTTTCATCAGTATTTCCCCTCCCATGTTTTGCTGTGTCTTCCATCTTTTGCCTGTCAGAAGGAAAAACCACTAAGATAAAAGATGGAATAGCTGTGTAAGAGCCCTCGCTCTGGAAGCACCCTTGAGTTTGCACTTCTAGGCTTAGGTATACATCCATGTTTACTTCACGGCAGACCTTACAGTAGGCCTCTGCTCCCTAAAGTTTGCTTTATTTTACTAATCTCGGGTTTTTTTTTCCTGTCAGAACTACCAGTAGCATCTGGCAGAAAGTCTAAATGCACATCAAACACCATGAAAACACTAAAATTGTAAACAAAAACATTAAAATAATGATGGTTGAGAACACTCAGAGCCAAACTGGACATGATACAAATGCATCATTTCAGTGTAGGTCAGCCTTTCTTCTTTAATAGAAGGTGTGGGAAGGAGAGGATTAGCTGGACAAACCACACTCCCTTCCCTCTACTCTTTGTTTCTGAGCAGGGGGCGTAAAGCCTCTTTTCTCCTGAGGGCTGAGTTCAATTTTGCAGAAGCTTGGGGAAGTGGGTTGGGGCCAAAAGCAAAAGGGACAAGCCAAAGTTAACGCGAAAGGGCAAGCTAAATAAATAATAAATCCTATCTTAAAAGATGACTGGAATAAAGACATATTAATTGTCTAAATACAGGCAGAGGGGAAACCAGGTGAATCCCCACCAGGAAGGAGTTTCACCATCAATGCTACTACTGAAAAAGGCTCTTCCATCTTGGATAGATATGTCAGTGTTTTGGGGAGTCCATGATGATGAACATTCCTGTGGGGAAGCAGAAGAAGGGGTTCAGGTAACACGTTTGGCTCCTCAGCTTGGCCAGTCGCAAAACAAAAAAATGTAAGATGTGATGCAGAGAGCATTAAATGTTGATGTCCTGCTGAACTCAAAGTACGAGGAAATCAGACTTTGAAATATACTAGCATCTCTATCATTTTGCATTACTACAATGATTATATAAAGCAATAAAATTTGTGTAGGAGTCACATATATTTCGTTATTCAAGCTCTTTGATTTCTACAATGAAACTATTTTTACAGAAGGATACAAATTGTGTGTGTGTGTACATGTGTGTATCTCCTATCAATCTATTTCAAATATTAAGGATCAGTCATAACTCTCACCAGATTTGTTAGTTTTATTAACTCTTCCATATTTCCATTTGGATTGAGATTTCTTGCATCGTGAACCAACTTCTATCTTGGTTAAAGTTAAAATGCTAATCATTCATTCTTGGTGGTCTTCCATCACTTTGGACATCTCACTAAAAATGTAACTCCCATCCAAAGCCATCCTGTTATTTCTCTTGTCCAACCTGCGTTAAATCAACAAGCCTTTTTGAACTCCACCTCAGAAATGCTGCATTGAGAAGATACCCCCAGCAGCACATACATTTAATGCTTACATGGCTGCAATTATTCATTACAGAATCATCAAATGAGAGGTGATATATGAAGGCGGAAGAGTCACGGGAATGCACCATGTAATAACATTATAAATGGCTGCACTAGAAAACAAATGCTTGTCACAGTGGCTGTTATTAATAATCTAAAACTATACATGCTTAACAGCTCCAGATTTAGTTCTGGGTTGGATCTAGATTTTTGCTGGCTCAACTGCACTGTTGAAAGTAGAGTTTTCATTCCCTCCTTCTCACCATAGTCCCTCAAAAGTGCTACACAAGGAGTTCTTGACTCTGGGGGAATGGGGTGAGTTGCAGTGTGGGGGAGACAGGGAAACCTCCCACGAATGGATCCCATCCTTTTGCAGAGGACAAATCCTGGATCCAACCCAAGTAGAGTCATGACTAACTTAGGTCCCATCCATTTTAAAGTGGCTTTCTATGTCTGAAACCAGCCAATTGTCTCATAATCCTCGCAACAGCCTAACAGGTACATCACCATTATCCTTTACAGCAGCTGCAGATGGTCTCTCTCCTCTAAGGTAATACAAATTATAGCCCTCTACATTGTCATCTTATTTTTATTTCTGCTTATCTCTAGGCACCCCAAACAACAGCTATCTTTACCAACTGCATTCTATGGACAATTTGTTTTTATTGCTTTTGTGACTTTTGGAAGCTAGCTTGGGAGGTGTCATACCAAACAGTGGCATATAAATATTTTTAGAGTCACGCATATTGTGCCAACTAGCTTCAGGGCCTAAGAGCCCTTGAGCGAGACGCCTTGTCACTTGCTGTGATTGCTCCTCCTCCTCTTTCTCATCACCACTCCCACCTGATTGATTGACAGGCAGAAAGCCAATGAGCTGGTAGGCCATGGGATGTAGCAGCAATCCCTAGGGGTATGGCCCAGCCAAGGCTCCTTGCTTTGGAGTTTGTTACCTAAGTAATATGCCTGGGGAAAGCAGCTTCAAGGCAATTCTATTTGGTGCTCTTCCTAAAAGACTGAAGGCCAGAAGGGTCCAGAAAACTTTCCTGGCTTTTGAGTACAGGTGACATTTGCTACACTGCCTGTTGAATGTTAATAACATTTCATCATTCCCCCACGTGCTGCTGCTTTTTCTCACCAACACCAGTGTCTGGATCAAAGTGAGAGGCAGGTGAACAAGCAGGTTGCAGTGCTGAAGGGGAGGCACTGCAGCTCTTGGCTACAAGCCCCAGCTAGTCTTTGGGCCATCAGCAGATGCCTGGCCCTACCTAAACTTGGCACTGGTCCCGCATGCATGCATACAGATTTACACCAGTTCTGAAAAAGGCTCCAGCTCAGGTTTTGGAGAACATCCTTAGGAAGGTGGCTTCATCAACTGTAACTGTGCATGTTCCTAATGCTTTGATGTGGACCTTAGTTATCCCCATGGTATGGCTATCCATTCTGAGTATCCAAACCACCCCTTCCTCATTCTTATTTCCATCTATTCAGCAGGAAGCTGTTGCTCTGCTTGAACAAAAGCAGTAGGCTAGGGGAATGCATTCATTATCACACCCACTTTTCTAAACTCAGTTTTTTCTAAACTTTTCTAAACTA